GTAAGGATAATTGGTCTTAGCAAAGTTAAGTACATTCTAACTTTTAAATTCTTAGAGATTGCTCTTGATCTAAAAATTTTCCGAAGAAACATTTATTAGCTGATTGTAATCTCATTGAAATTTCTGTTATCCGAGGTATGTTTATGTTTATTAGATCCTAAACAGAAGATTTTTTACTAGGCAGGGGCGTTAGCCCTGCACTAAACCCCCAACCTGGAGGACCAGATCACTCCGATCACTTAAGATCAGGATGGGGCTATTGCAGCACCCAATTAAGGGCACTGGGCGATAGAGACGCCACTTTCCCAACGCCGCACAATAAAAGACCATACCGAAATTAAAGTTCCATTCAAATTTTTCTAAAAATCAATTTTACATAATGGCTTTCAGAATTCATTAAAAAACACTATAGTCAAATTTTTATTTTGTATTTTAAGTATCTTCACCTAAATTAATTGAACAGAAAAGCAAAGGACATCTCTACCAAGTTAATTATTTATAAAACAAAAATAACTTACTTCATAATAGTTTGCTGGAGGTTGTAAAAATTTTGCCCATACTTGACGTTTAAGCTCAGATAATGGCTATTTGAAAACAGAATAGATTCATGATTTTAAACAATTACATGTTTCTAAAAAAACATTTTTGATTAATCAAATAAACTTACAGTACTATTTCGGCGTTTTAAGTTTGATATACAATCTTCATCTGGTCCATCTGGTAAAGTATTTATCCAACTAAAACATATTATAGAATAATTTTGAAATTCAATTATGATTAACTTTTAAAAAAAACTAGTTTAATATTAATTTTTCATGTATACAATCCCACGAGTTGTAATATCTCTGGAGATAGCATAAAAAGATTATTATTATACAGTTTAAAATGTAATTATATAATTAATACAATTGAATTTAAACTAGAATTAGCTATAAAATTGAAAATTTAATATTATATTTTATATTATTTATATTATACATACTTTCTCCACTTTTTTTTGGTTTCATCTGGAACAAGTTTGTCATAAAATATTTGTCCATAAGGACTTCTTGGATTACTTAAATTGTCCATAAAACTCTTTGACGCAAGAGGTGTTGAAGGAGATGATTGTTGACTAGCTAATACTGGAGTTTTATTAACGGGTTCTAATAATTGAGAAGTAGGATTAATCATTTCCATAGAACATTTTTTCTTTAATGGTGGTTTAATTTCATCATCAGTGTCTTTAAGTGGTACTGCTAGTTCAGATTCTGTACAATTTTCCTGCATTGCAGGTACAGTAAGTTTTTGAGTAAATGATGTATTACTATCTTTACAAATACGGCTTATATTTCTAGGAGTTGAGGTAGTTGGTGAAACCATTGATGTAGATTTAATAGTGGCTAATATTGTAATTATAAATATTTAAAAAATAATAATAATAATAAAAATAAAAATAACTAACTAGTGACTTACTACTTATGTTAACAATTTGAAAGTGCTCTTCTGGTAATCGACATTTACATGTCACACATTTGATTAACCATTCCTTAGATACGACTGGAACACTCCATTTAACCGCAGCTTGATATTTCGACCCTTCTGGTGCAGAACAAATAAGGTGAGTTGTTGCCATAATATTGTTTTCAAGTTTTTGTTTTCGTGACATAGCATCTTGATAACTGAATAATAAATATAGTGAAATTAATATTTATAAGGTTTTTTTTTTTTACTTACTAATTAAGAGTAAAAATGAACTTACTGTGCACCAAGAAGTAATGAAACTTCTTTTAAAAAGTACCGTTCAGAACCTGCATAATTAGTAACAGTAATTACACAGTTTTTTAGAGGTGTGGAACCACTAAAAATTACTGGTTTATGATAATATTCAACCGAAACTTTTTCAATATTATTATAACAATCTTCCTAATATAATCACAAATTATTATTTACATTTATAACTATTATGATAAAAGATGTTTTCACACCAAAATATTAATACTCACTACCCAAAGACAGCTAACTATGGTAGCTTTAATATTTAAAGATTTTTCATCAAAAACAATTGGAACAACAACATAATCAATTTTATTTTGGTAACTACGTGTATTAACTGCTACACCACCCATTGATATAATTTTACTTTTGATAGATGGTAATTGATGAACATCCAAATCATATAAAAGTATGGTTAAGCCTAAAAACAATTTCTTTTAATTTGTATAAATATTATATTCTAGACAACCATTACCTTCCAATATAGATTCAAATCTACTGTCTTGTGTAGATACAGTATCTTCTGTAGTATTAGTGTATGATGATTTTTGACTTTGAGGGCCGTTCAAATTAGTGTTTTCTAAAATTGCAATTATTAAAGATAATTTATAATACAAACTAAAAATGATTTAATAATTTGTACAAATCTAAATTAAAACTTTCATTAAAGTGAAACATTTATTAACATACAATTTAAAATATTATGAGAAATGAATTAAAGTGTGTTTATTTTCTGTCTCTAAAAATGTTGTTGAACAAAAGATTTTTATATGGTTTTATTATGTGGNAAAACTTTCATTAAAGTGAAACATTTATTAACATACAATTTAAAATATTATGAGAAATGAATTAAAGTGTGTTTATTTTCTGCCTCTAAAAATGTTGTTGAACAAAAGATTTTTATATGGTTTTATTATGTGGTTAAAATTGTTTTAATTTAAAAAAATAAACAAACATTTTATACACGATTCTTTTTATTAAAATAAAACTCGGTTGGCTTTATAAAAATATTCAAGATTCACAAAATACACTTTTTTTTTTAGTTATAAATTGAGACAATTTTCATTTTATTATTTATTTATTTTAAATGTTTAACCATACCCTAACAAATGATGAGTTCTTTTTAGAATTGTTTTTCACTGTGTTCAGTAAATAAAAAAAATGTATATATTAAAAAGATGACATATTAAGCAGTTCATATTCGATCAATATTTATTTAATAATATTATTGATCAATATATCATTATTAAGTCACCGGGTCCATAATCAAATAGTAAAAGTAAATCAGCAATATAATAATATTGACGATCTGTCAATAAATATTAAAATAATTTTGATTTTTTCAATATATTGAACAAGTCTTCAATATGATACTATCAATATTATAGTCAATATAAAATATTGATTGTGTATGGGCCGCTTTATACTTCATTTAGTCATTAAAATATGTATGGTTTAAATATAATTAAACTATATTATATTATTAAAAGCAGGCTCAGGGATTTCTAACAGTTGCATAATTTTTTTTAATTATTTAAAAAGTAGCAGAGTCAAATAGAAATCCTGTTCATGATATAGAATCTAAATCCAAAATTGGATTATGCAAAGTTTAATGTTTTTTTCTCATTAGAGCATATACTAGCAGAATTAAAACATTTTTTAGTGCTCATTTGGTTCTTTTTTAAAATATATTTGTAACATTTTTTGAACTAGAAGTCCCTAATCCTAATTATAAGTCAGCTAATTCTGAGGTTCTAGCTATATAAAACAAAAACACAATAAATTGCAAAATCAAACAGATAATAAAAACCAATTGTTTATAAGCATTTCTAAAAAATAATAATAATTAGTAAAAGTTTCAATTATTTGTATTGAGCAATATTTAAATGTGTTTCACTCAGCAGTGTATAAAATATAAATTTTAAATAAAGTAAATAAAAATCTAAATAAAAAATGTATCGATAAAAATAATTTTAATATTTTTAATGTTCAAACTGATTTTAAAAATAACATCTTATATCTTAGTGTATTGAAATTTTAGATAATAAACAATAACCAAATAATTTATACTTCTTAACATATCTATGTCATTTTAAATAATCTCTCCTATTAAAATAATTTTTTTTTATATTCTAAGTAAAACGACCAATTTGTATAATTTTTTTCTATGTGTTCCTTCATTTAATTTTTTATATTCAGTTGCATTTTACATTTTGACTTTGATATACCCGATGATGAATTTTCAATTCGAAACTGGTCGTATAATTTACTTATCATAATGCTCCAGGCAACACATTCATTAATTAATTAATTTTATTTTTATATGTTTATTTACTTTATTTATTTACAAGTATCAACCATTTTAATAATTTTGATTTTACTATATTATTTTATTATAAATTTCATTTTCATATTTATGTTTAAAAATAATATCATTATGACTTCACACTTACCAACATTCAAATATTGATTTATAAAATTATCCGATGGATGATTTTCCATTATAGCCGAAATTGTAGGTTTAGGTTTATCTACAATGTTTGGCTGAGAAAATTTTGCATCTTTCATCATATATAAACCCTAAAATAAAATTTAAACATTAGATTTTATATTGTGACTTTATTTTACAATTTGTATACATTAGTTATATAATATAATATACTTTTTTACTAAGAGGAGATGGTGATTCAGATGAAAACAAATGAGATGAATCCATAGCCAAAAATTGTTCTTCTGGAGCAGTACATTTCAAATTTATACTTTCAACTAACCAACTAAAATTAACAACATGAGGTCTAAAACAAAATATAAATTATATGTAACAATAAAAAAATATTAAAGTTTTTTAAATATTGTAGCTTGAGTACCATTTTTATGAACATAATTACCAAATTTTTGTATACACTAATCACGATAATATAAAATCTTTAAGAGATACATATTTATTATTTCACACACCCTATAATTTGAAGTTATTTGACTATTGCCATAAGAATAATATTTTTAGAAGTGATGAGGATATTTTTTACAAAACCATATGATAATTATATAATCATTATACTATTTTATAAAAATCAATATATTTAAGTAGTTTTTTTCTTTGCTTGTAAACAAACTTTCTACTAGAAATCGTGCTATAATCAAAAAATAAGAACAGACCTTTTTATTGTATTTTGGATCTAGTGCAATAAAAAGGTTATTTTTTATTTAAAAGGATTTTCATAATAATTAAGAGAAACTAAAAGAGCGTAAAATAAAAACAAACAAATTTATGGCGTAACAATATCATTAATTTAAATTTTTACAAAATTTGTTTTCTACTAGAAAAATTACCCTGATAAAAAAAAAAAGAGCCTTTTTTTGTTGCATTTTGGATTTAGTAAGTGATTACAAAATGTGTTTTTAGATAATATGTGAAATTGCATAATAATAAATGAGCAAAACCAAGAAAAAACGTAGAAAGAGTGAGAAAGTTAAGAATTATGAATTTCATTATTTTAAATTTTTATTTTTCTATAATTTGCTTAAAAATTATCGCCAAGAGATCATATTTGTATAGATTATTTATATTAGCTTTTTCTAGAAATTGTCAAATTTTCAAATAATTCAGAGATTTTAATAATATATAGGCATTTTAATTTCCAAATANATTGTTTTACTATATTTTAAAAACCATTATTTTTTTATCAACAAAAAAAAACTAAATAAGACGCATTTTACGTAATGTAATATTTTCATTGATGTCACTGATATCGTCAATGGTTAATAATGTTATCTATATCTATACTGCCAGTATTGGTGTTATATGGGAAATTGCTCACGCTCTAGTATTGTATATCTTATTCACAATATATGCAAGTTATTTATAGGAACCCGTGGTGTTTGTGATAAATTAATTTAGTATTATTTTATCAATAATTAATATTATAAAACTTTTAGATTAATAATATTAAATAATCTACGAACTAATAATAATAATATAGTTAGATATTTTTGCCATTTTCGGTAAATATTGTTTCAGTTCACATTGCTACTGTGTACTATATTATTTATCATATTGTTGTGTTAAAATTAAAAATATGGTTGGAATTTTTGTTTTTTCCAAAATGATGAAACCAAAAGTTTTTGGTTCAACGAAAAGAAGAGCATAAAAAAAAAAATATTACTATAGTCAATTTGTGAAGTAGTAAGAAAGATTTATTTTCTTGTGAGCGGAAATATTACTATACTTGATTTTATATTTAATTTATTTTATATTTGCAGGTAAACGAAAAAAAACGACAACTTAACAGTCGCTTCACGCAACAGCTAGTTACATATTCAGCATCTACAATCTATATAAATAACAAGTTTACAAATTCCAATAAATACAAAAGCAATATCTGTCAGATTTCATTGAAACTAAAGACACTGTTTCCAAATATTCCTGTAGTATGGCTTATCTGTATATTATTATAAAATCAATGTATAAATAAATAAAATAACCTTATGTATCCTAGCTTTCTAATTTCCTACTTAAAAAAAGTGAATATCCATCAGCAGTAGTAACTTTTTTTATTTTAATTTTACCCATTTTAATAACAACAATAATTTTCAAATGACAACCTATGATTTAAATAAATTTTACTTTAAACTACAGTGATAAGAATTTAACAACAATGCACAATATCTTTCGTAGTTAAAATTATAAAAAAAAAATAGCATTAATAGATTAAAGAGATGTTACGAACCCTGATTTTTAAGATCGGACAGAACTTTTAAAATATTTTATCAAACTTATACTCGAACATTAAAAAAGTAAAAAGGTTAGGTTAAGTTAGTTAATCTTTATGGCCTTCACCAATTTATAATTATTATGGGTTTCAATAATAAGAAAAAATATAATTTTTCTTTTACGTGACAAGGTCCCTTTGTCCTATTACAGAACATCTTATTGGTAACCGTGCAAAATCAGTATCAAATAATTGGGGGAGTATTTAGTTTTAAAAAATTGAACATTTCGTCACATATCTCTAGAAGATTAATATTGCATTAAATATTAAAGTTATATTTTTTTACTTTTCTCGAATGGAGTGCAATAGTTTTACTAGCGATGATGAAAATTCACCAACTAATATATGAGTTATTGATTCATTTAGTTCTGTGTACCTAATTCCACCAGTAGAAATTACAATTCGTTTTAACTTTTCTTCTTCACTTAAACTGAATCCACTAAAATAAACCTAGCATGAAAAAAATACAAAATAATACATTTCTGACTAAATATAAAGTTTAAAAATATTTAAATTAAAAAAAAATGTTTACTTTGCAGCCATCAAGAATTGTACCAGCTTTTTTTACCTCAGATAAACCTATACATTCTAACATAGATTTATAATTTATATTTTTTAAGTTATCTAAAATGGAATAATAATAATAATTAGCAATGTAGTAATAAAATAATAAGTTGAAATTGATAATTACTTTTTTTTGGAGTTGTAAAACTATCTTGTGATACACAATTGTTTATTTGTTGACATTTTAATTCACTGCAATTGTTTATTGCGTCTTCTATACTTGATTTTGGCTCAGCAGTTATTTCTCTAATGTCAGCTTGAGGAAAGTTGGCTAAAAATAAATCAATAATTAAACATTTTTGAAAAATTATTTGTACTTTCTTCAGATCATACATTGAACTTGAACATCAGAAGTAAGCGTTGAACATAGTAATTCATTTTTGACAATATACTCGTTAGTATCAACCATATAACCTTTTTCAACACTATCATATATCCANATCTTGTGATACACAATTGTTTGTTTTTTGACATTTTAATTTACTGCAATTGTTTATTGTGTCTTCTATACTTGATTTTGGCTCGGCAGTTATTTCGCTAATGTCAGCTTGAGAAAAGTTGGCTAAAAATAAATCAATAATTAAACATTTTTGAAAAATTATTTGTACTTTCTTCAGATCATACGTCGAACTTGAACACCAGAAGCAAGCGTTGAACATAGTAATTCATTTTTGACAATATACTCGTTAGTATCAACCATATAACCTTTTTCAACACTATCATATATCCAAGATGGTTTTAAACACATTAAACCCCATTGTTGTGCATAAGTAAATTTTTGACCTTTAGGATTTGATATAATTAATACATGAGTTTCTCTTTTTATCATTTGAGGTGTATACATTCCACCTAAAAAAAAAATAATATGTGGTTTTATTAAAACAAAAATGGTTTTAATAATAATTGTTTTATTTTGTTACCAAAAGAAAAAATCAATGTAATAACTTCTTCTTGATCAAATACATCTAAACCAGAAGTAGTCATTATGAGTTTATAAAATGGAGGACATTTGAATTTATCAAATTTTTCTTTAACAATATTAATATGAGATAGACTTTCTTCCCAAACAGCGTCTACCCACGAATCAATCATAACAGTTATTCCTGTTTCAACAGCTTTCTAAAGAAAATCACAAGATTTTAATTTATTCCGGTATTTATACCTTATATATTATTTTGCTTACAATATATTTTTTAGATCCTACTTTTCCAACCATTAAATGAGTAGTATTTTCTCGTAAATGATAAGAGAAAATGCCGCCCATATACATAATTTTTTCTTTTATTCTTTCCTAAAAATTAAAATTATAATAAAATATAAATG